AACATAGGGTTGCCATATTTCAAAAAGTGAACATCCTGGCAAAGTTGTTGACCTTTTTTTGTTTTTTGTTTCACAAAATTGTTGAGCTTTGGCGACCCCCTAATGGAAGGATCTGTGGCCTTTGGGTGAAAAAGAGTTCTGCTTCTTCCCTCAATGGACCTTTAGTCTGATCCAGCAGGGCTCCTCCATTGCTCTAAGCCTCCAAAGTAATTCTATGAGTCAGGTTCCTCTGCTGCACAAAAGTTTGACAACTGATTATCTTGACAATGACGGTGCTGATCATTATGTCTAAATTCTTTCTTTGGCCTCGGAAGAAGGTGCAGAATTATCTCAGAGTCAATCAAGCTCTGCGTATAAATACATCTGTAAGAAATGAAGTGTCAGGAAAAGATTATTTCTAGCTCTTTTTTCAGAACTTGGAGGGAAAGAACATAAATTCATGGGATGGAATGAGAAATTGCCTCCACCAACTCGCTCACGGTATAATGAGGACCTTCTGCACACTTTTTAAAAATGGAAGCGTCAGAACTTTGACACACAAAGAAATTCCTCATATTACAGATTCGTTTAACGCCAAACATTTTAAATCCTTGAACCAATTTGGAAATGATTTTCATATTTTCAGAGCTCAGGGTTGGTTCTCTTCTCTTCCCCACATTTCCTTCATATAAAAATATTCTATCCTTTGTGGGGGGCTCTTAAATAAAGTAAAAACGCTATAGAAATGTAAATGTCACAGATTTAAAAACTGTTGTACAAAAGGACGACCTCACTAAATTGATTTCAGGGTTATGAGGGATGTTCTTGGGTTGCTTAAACAATAGCAAATTGGAAGTAGACGGGGAAAAGGTTTAGGTAAGGGACTTCATCAAGGGAAATAGGGGCAGGTCAAGGTAATGGATTTTGACGCAGGTAAGCCACCTGGTTATTTTTTAAAAATATCTAGTTCTTATTTAACTATTTCTGTCCCAAACCTTTTGCATAAATTTTGCACTCCTGTGGTGGCTGACAGAGTAGCAATAAGCTCACGGGAGTCCATGTGTTTGGTAACCTGAAGGCGAGATTACTGCAGTGCACTCTATGTGGGGCAGCCCTTGGGCCTGCCTAAAAGGCCCTGCCTGTGCAGAATGCAGCAGCCAGGCTGCTGATGTGAGTATCTGGCTGGCAGCACATAACATTGTTGTTAAAACATCTACTCTGGCTTCTCAACTACTACTGAGCTGGGTTCAATGCATGCATTAGGGCAAATTAATATGTAGTCTAAAGTAACATACAAAATGCATCATACGTGGGGAAACTGCTTTGTGAAAATATTACAGGTAGGTAACCGTGTTGGTCTGCCGTAGTCGAAACAAAATAAAAAATTCCTTCCAGTAGCACCTTAGAGACCAACTAGGTTTGTTATTGGTATGAGCTTTCATGTGCATGCACACTTCTTCAGATACACTAAAACAGAAGTCACCAAACCCATATATATATATATATATATATATATATATATATAGTGAGAGGGTGGGGAGGGGTATTACTCAGAAGGGTGGTGGGAATTGGTGATTGGCTGATAGGTGTGGTAAACCTGTTGATGACTGTTAACAACTACAATTGGTCTTACAGGAAAAAGCAAGGGGTGAGATGGCTAAAAATAGCTTTATCATGTATAATGAGATAAGAATCCAATGTCTCTATTCAGACCAGGTCTCTCCATGGTTTTAAGTTTGGAAATAAGTTGCAATTCAGCAACTTCTCTTTTCAGTCTATTCCTGAATTTTTTTTGTAATAAGACAGCTACTTTGAGATCTTGTATAGAATGTCCTGGGATACTGAAGTGTTCTCCTACTAGTTTCTCTGTCTTGTGATTCCTGATGTCAGATTTATGTCCATTTATCCTCTGGCGTAGGGTTTGTCCTGTTTGTCCAATACAGAGAGCTGAAGGGCACTACTGGCATTTGATGACATACACAATGTTAGAAGATGAGCAATTAAATAGTCCTGAGATGGTATGTTTGATGTTGTTGGGGCCAGTAATGGTGTTGTCCGGGTGTATGTGGCAGCAAAGTTGGCATCCGGGTTTATTGCAGGCTCTGGTACCAGTGTCCGTGTTAAGTCTGGTTGTTGTATTATTGTGGGTGAGGAGTTGTTTAAGATTGGGCGGCTGTCTATAGGCAATGAAAGGTCTTCCTCCTAGAGCTTGAGAAAGAGAACTGTCATTGTCTAGGAGAGGCTGTAGATCTCTGATGATGTGTTGAGCTGTTTTAACTTGGGAGCTGTATGTGATTACTATTGGTGTTCTGTTATTTTCTTTTTGGGGGGTCTGTCTTGCAGCAGGTTCTCTCTGGGTATCAGTCTGGCTCTGTTGATGTGTTGTTTAACTTCATTGGGCAGATATTTTGGTTCTAAAAGGGGTTGCTGTAGATCTCTTAGGTAAGAGTCTCTGTCTGTAGAGTTGGAACAGATGCGGCTGTAACGTAGGGCCTGGCTATATACAATGGATTGTTTGGTATGTTTGGTATGGTAGCTAGAAGCATGTCGATATGTTTGTCAGTCAGTTGGTTTACGGTATAAGGTGGTGTCTATATGCCCATCCTGTATTTTTATAGTAGTGTCCAAAAAAATGTATTTCTTGCATAGATTGATTCATTGTTAGGTTGATGGTGGGGTGAAAGTCATTGAATGTCTGTTGGAAGGTGTCCAGGGTCTGTTGACCATGTCCAGATAATAAAAATATCATCAATGTATCGCAGGTACAAGAGAGGTTTGAGTGGGTTGGAGTTTAGGAAACGTTGTTCTAAATCTGCCATGAAGATGCTGGCATACTGTGGGGCCATGTGGGTGCCCATTGCTGTGCTGCTGATCTGGAGGAACAGATCATTACCAAATTTGAAGTGGTTGTGGGTGAGGACAAAATGGCAGTTTGGTAGCAAAGTCCGCTGTGATTTTATCTGAAAATGTGTATATTAGGCAGCACTACATGCAAAAATGTGCACATTAGCAGAAGCTGTTGCTAAAATGCTGGTACATTTTCAGGAGGGCTTTTTCCTTTTTTATTATCACAAACTGGTGGAAATGCAGAGGTCTGAACTTACTGTAAGTCTGGAAAAACAGAGAGAGAGGGAGGGAGAGAGAGAAACCCAAACTGACAGATTCACTCATCCCTAACAATGATGGCTGCTTTCTTAAGATGACTTAAGAAAAAAAAGAAAAAGTTACATGCTGGCGATTGAACCTGCAGCCTCTCCCAGCCCTGTCTGAAGATACAGTGCTACCTCTGGTTACGTACTTAATTCGTTCCAGAGGTCCATTCTTAACCTGAAACTGTTCTTAACCTGAAGCACCCCTTTAGCTAATGGGGCCTCCTGCTGCACGATTTCTGTTCTCATCCTGAAGCAAAGTTCTTAACCCGAGGTACTATTTCTGGATTAGCGGAGTCTGTAACCTGAAGCGTATGTAAGCCAAGGTACCAGTGTTCAGGGATCTTCCACATGTAAAATAGATGCTCTACCATTGAGCTATTTCCCCAGGTACAATGTTTGAGCCCTCCTTTTGCGGAATTTCTCTGCTGGTCCCTAACACCAATGAATAAGGAACAAAACTATGAAAAATAGTTCTGAACTGAGAGAAATGTGGGTGTTCTTTTTATTTAATTGATGCTGCACAGAGTCTCTTCCGAGACAAGCCTATTTGGTTCAACACAAGTTGCTGTTGTAGCTTGTCTTTTGGGTGTGTTGAGAAGGCCAGCTGTTTTAAAATATAAATGGGAAATAAATAAATCACAGAGTGTAAAAATAGCCTTACTAATGAGTTAATCTGCATGTTTAAACACCAATAGGCAAAGTTACAAACTGGAGCATTCCTGCCCCCCTCTGGATTGTCCATTGCCAAAACGGTACTTATTGAATTCGACAAACATTCTTGTTCTCTCCATTATATCAATGTATTTTTAAGTGTGATGGTTAAAGCAGTTGGACAGTGTTGCTCTTCAATCTCAATGTTTCCTTTGCTTTGTCTGCATTAATAATTGCTATGCATTTAATAAATAAGAGGACAGAAGAAATAATACCAATTCTGAATACTGGCACTTAGCTTGCAATGAACCTCATTAAAGCCAGTGATCCATGCTTTGTTGTTTAAGTAAGTGCATGTAATCCCTTCCTTCTCATTCTGGGGATTTAGTCCCCCCCACTCATTCGGTGAGCACAATCCTATCTTGATGTCTCTTATTAGGAATTGATCTTACTGCCTGGTACTGACCAGGTAAAGTGAGCAATGGCTAGTGGGAATTTGTGGGAAAGGGCCATGTATGACTCAGGGGTAGAAAATCTACTTTGCACACAGAAGATCCCAAGTTCAGTCCCCAGCATCTCCAAGTTGGACCCTCTGTCTGAAACCCTGGAGAGCCACTGCCAGTCAGTGTAGGTGATATTGAGCTAGATAAACCAGTAGCCTGACTTGGCAGAAGGTAGTGTCCTATGAATTTAGCCAATGAGCCACCACAAGAAGACTTTCTTGGTTGGAGTGGCTGTACTCCCTGCAATTCCAGCTTCTACCCAGAAAGTGGTGCTCAGCCTAACTTCTCAGAGCAGAGCAGATGAGACAACACTGATGCCCTAGGAAAGCTTCTAGTTCAGGCTTCTTGGTGGTCAAAGCACAGCTTCCTGTTTCATCTAAGCCTTCCCTTGCAACATTTATTACACTCTGCTTCTGCAAATCTTGAAGAAGCGTTCAACAAAGCAAAGCAATAAAGATGCCTCTGAAACTATTTCAAAAGAAAAACCACTGAGTGCAATAGAATCAACACAGGACCACAACACCAACTAACCAGTAGGTAAAAGGAGGTTTTATATATTCTCCTCACATAGGAAGATTCTTTATATCAAGTCAGGACATTGGTTCATCTTGTTCACCATTGTTTACAAAGACTAGCAGTGGCTCAGCAGGATCCCAGGAAGCAGGCATCTGCAAGTCATACGAGGAGAAGCCAGAGATTGACCCAGTTAAATGCCTTGGCTGTGGCTCAGTGGTAGAGCATTTGTTTTGCATGCAGATGGCCCCAGGTTCAATCCTGGGCATCTTAAAGAGGGACCAGAGGAGAACCCGTCTGAAACTTTTGGAGAGCAGCTATCAGTCAGTGTAGACAATGCTGAGTTGAATGGACCATTGGCTGACTTGCTATGAACTTAATACGTCCCCCAAATTCTGCAGACCTCTTCTGTGACCTCATCATGCCACAGACTCAAAGCAATTGTGCTGAAGGCTTGACTTACCATAAATACTCTAATTCTTGAGCTAAAAGGCATTGAAGCTTTGAACGTGTTAGGAGCAAATGCATGCAAAAATCTTAAGGACATGTGAAAAGTACCCACTCTGCTGTCACTACCTCTCCTGTCCTGTACTCCAAGACTCCTCAGAAATTTACTGGATCGGAAAAGCAATCAACTTGGAGGGTTTTAAAAGAGGCTATCAGTGCAAAGGCTATCAGTGATGACCAACAATGCTTCATATGTTATGTCTACACTGTTGCAAGCAGTATGCTTCTGAATAAAAGTTACTAGGAATCATAGCTGGAAAGAATGTTGTTCCAGTCAGGTCCTGCTTATGGGCTTCCCAGCTAGGCATCTTCTTGGCCACTGTAAGAGGAGGATGCTGGACTAGATGGTTCTATGGCCTTATCCAGCAGCCAGCTCTTCTTATGTTCCTTAGTCTTAGCCTTTGGTCTTATTTTAAACGTATTTGTTGTTTTTCTGTGTTTTCAACCATTTTTAATCATCGTACAGTGGTGCCCCGCAAGACGAACGCCTCGCAAGACGAAAGAGTTTTTCGTTTTCGAGTTGCTTCGCAAGACGAATTTCCCTATGGGCTTGCTTCGCAAGACGAAAACGTCTTGCAAGTTTGTTTCCTTTTTCGTAAAACCGTTAAAACCCAGGGTGCATTGCTGGAAGAGGTGCAGTTGCGACTTGACCTCGAGGAGCAACACATTGCACGCGGTGTGGTGGCCTTTCTGAGCTTTTTAAAGAGTTTGCTGGATTTTTGAAGCTTTTCCAAAACTTCTTTTGCAGCTGTTTGGTAAGTTAAACTTTTAAAACTTCTGGGTTTTGAATTTCTGTGTGCTGGGTGGCTGGGGGAACAGTTGGGGAGGGGTTTGCAACAGTTGGGGAGGGGTTTGCAACAGTTGGGGAGGGGCTGGGGGAACAGTTGAGGATTTTGAAGACTTTGGTGATTTGCAGCCATTTCGTAAGTTAAACTTTTAAAACTTTTTTGGGGATTTTTGGATTTTGGGTTGGGTGTTTGGAATTCAAGGACTTGGTTCTGGGTTTGAATTGCTGATTTTTTTTTTCTTTTTCTGAGTTTACGAAGGTAAGAGCTGTGCTGCCATGGGACCCAAGAAGACTGCTGCTGTGGAGGCCGGTGAGAGGAAGAAGGAGAAGGTGACGCTGGAAATGAAGAAGGAGATCATCTGGAAGCACGATGGTGGAATGCATGTGACGGACCTCGCCAGGGAGTACGGCAGGAACCCATCGACCATCGGGACCATCCTGAAGATGAGGGAGAAGATCCTTGCGACTGATGCAGCCAAGGGAGTCACCAGGATCGTGAAGAACTGCCCAGCTGTTCTGGAGGAGGTCGAGAAGTTGCTGCTCATCTGGTTAGAAGAGAAGCAGCGTGCAGGGGACACAGTGACTGAGGCCGTCATTTGTGAGAAGGCCAAGGCCTTGCACGCAGACCTCATCCGGGAACAGCCAGGAACCTCAGGCGAGCCAGAAGTCTTCAAGGCAAGCAGAGGCTGGTTTGACCGGTTCAAGGCAAGATCTGGAATCCACAGCGTGGTCAGGCATGGAGAGGCTGCCAGTTCTGATGTTCCTGCGGCTGAAGACTTTGCCTTGGAGTTCCTGGAGGTTGTGAAGACGGAGGGCTACGTTCCACAGCAGGTCTTCAACTGCGACGAGACCGGGCTGTTTTGGAAGAGGATGCCCAAAAGGACTTTCATCACACAGGAGGAGGCCAAGTTGCCTGGCCACAAGCCCATGAAGGACCGTCTGACCCTGCTCTTCTGTGCCAATGCAAGCGGCGACCTGAAGATCAAGCCCCTGCTGGTGTACCACTCGGAGAACCCACGGGCCTTCAAGAAACACAAGGTCGACAAGGAGCGGCTGAGTGTCATGTGGCGATCCAACAGCAAGGCTTGGGTCACACGTGTGCTGTTTGTGGACTGGGTCAATCTTGTTTTTGGCCCTGCTGTCAAACAGTACCTGCTGGACAACGACCTGCCGCTGAAGGCTTTGCTTCTGATGGACAATGCTCCTGCTCATCCTAAAGGCCTTGAGGTGGACTTGTTGGAGGAGTTCAGCTTCATCAACATCATGTTCCTGCCGCCTAACACCACGCCACTGCTCCAGCCGATGGATCAGCAGGTCATCGCCAATTCAAAAAACTCTACACCAAGGAGCTTTTCAGGCGATGCTTCGAGGTGACTGATTGCACCACCATCACCCTGCGGGAATTCTGGAAGGACCACTTTGACATCGTCACCTGCTTGAAGATGATCACCACGGCCTGGAACGGGATCAGCCAGAGAAATTTGAATTGCGCTTGGCGCAGCCTGTGGCCGGACTGTGTGGCACCAAGTGACTCTGATGCACCAGAGTCAACAGTGGTGCAGGACATTGTTGCCTTGGGGAGGACCATGGGCCTGGAGGTCACAGAGGAGGACGTCAGTGAGCTGGTGGAGGAGCACGACCACGAGCTGACCACCCAGGAGCTGGTTGAACTGTAGGCAGAGGTTGCGCAGGAGCAGGCCTCGCTGGAAGAGGAGGAAGCAACTGAGGAATGGCTGTCCTCCAAAGAACTGAGGGACATTTGCCAGAAGTGGAAGGAGGTGCAGGCTTTTGCAGAGCGGCACCACCCTAACAAGCACGTGGCACATGACCAAGCGAACACTTTTGATACGACGGTCATGTTGCCTCTCAGGGAGATGCTGAAAAGGCGGATGAAGCAGCAGACCATGGACAGGTTCTTCAGCAAGAAGCAAAGAGTGGAAGAGGAACCTTCTTCGAGTGGTCCCCCAGAGTCTTAGAAAATGTATGTACAGTACACTTTGTTGATTTTTAAATGTTTTTCTGTCATGTTTAGAAACTTAATTTATTGTTCCTTCAATTTTTGAAGTGCTCTTTACAGTATGTGTGACTTTAAAGAGCACTTAATAAACTCTTGTTGTACCAAATTTGGCTTTGTTTGGACTTTTTTTGACCATAGGAACACATTAATTGAATTTCAATGCATTCCTATGGGAAACCGTGCTTCGCAAGACGAAAAATTCGCTAGACGAAAAAACTCGCGGAACGAATTAATTTCGTCTTGCGAGGCACCACTGTATCTGTAAATTGCTTTGAGATGGTGGTTTAGAAGGTGATTAATCTAATAATAATAATAATAATAATAATAATAATAATAATCTACATTCTTAGCTTCAGGCATGGAGAAACAGAGGCAGAGGCACTGTCTCTGTTGGGAAAACACTACTTTGAGTGTGCCATCTCCATATTCCTGATGTCCTTTTACATGCACTTGAATGGAAACCTGCTCTGAGAGACCATCTTGGCTGGAAAGCAGGGTATACATACAGTTCCCACACTGCATTGCTTTCAAATGGATACAAATTTGCAAGCACATTACCCTCCCCCCTCCATATTCCAGCACAGCTGGTCATCATGCTCACCTATGCACAACAGATTGGTGCATAGATATTTTAAAAACAATTCGAAATGGCAGCTCATCACACTTGTTCCTGCTTCAATCTTGCTTCCACTTCCTTCAACCCACCATCCCAACCCCCACCTCATGTTAGAAAAACAATTTAGCTTTGCCACTTAATGTTGTTGATGCCATTAAAAGTAATACTGCAATGAATGTTATATCAAACCCAATTACTCCACTGCGCTGCTTTCTGTGGCATTTCCTTTTCCCGGCAAACACTCCTTCACTCTGTCTAGCAATTAACTGCTTGAACAGTATAATAAGGAAGCAATTAAGAGGTGACAGAGAAAAAATTAACACTCCATTTCACATTAAAGGCCAAGTGAGTATCCGTGCCATTGTGAGTTAAATGTGTCTTTGAAAACCTGTAGTTTTGAATGTATTTTTCCTTTTGAATAAGAAGCTGGCTCCATGGCTTCACCCCCTCCACGTTTTTCTCTCCTTTTTGTGCATCTAGATTCCCAGTCTGAAAATGGATGATAACTAATTGGGTGCTGTCTGCTTTAATGGGGTATATTAATTGCAGTTTGCTCTCCTGTTAAAGTGTCAGGGAAAACAAAATCTTTGTAATGCGTAGGAGCATTTGTACCCAGCCTTACTGCACTGTGTATACCGGGGCAAAAAACCCCAACCTTCTCCACATGTACCCCCCAAAAGCTGGGATGACTTTGCCTTGGCAATAATGCCTGTACAATAACTAGCACCCACAAAGTCCTTGCTTGCAGTTGTCCTTCCAGCCCAACACACAAAGCTGCATCATGGAACGGTTTGTGTGGCCATCAAGCATGGTGCCAACCATAGCATTGAGAATGGGCCCGCTAATTGTGCGTGCACACAAGTGGTTGGCATGATTCCATTAGTGTGCTGCAGAATGCAGTGATGCTTCCTTGGGATTGGTTTGATGGTGCCACTTTTTTAAGGCTGTAGTTTTCCCACTGGGCTGTGGGGATTTCTGCTACTCCCTTGCTGTGGCATCACTTGTGGTGGGTTGAGGGAGGGGACAAGGCTGGGATTTAGAAGTCGAGACAGGGGGTGTGAGGGGGTTACCTTCAGAGTTGGCTTTGGATGTTCCCTTTGCTCATTCTGCAAGCACCCCTCTGGCCTAAGGAGAAAGCCACATTGGAACCCTCCCTCCCTGAGGACCCTGCCTGCCCTCTGCTGTTGGAGGCAATGTCTGCTGAAACAGGAAATTCTCCCCCTTTAACTAAGGAGGCTTCTCCCATTGAAGGTAGAGCTGAACTGCACTCCTGGTATGCCCTGCGGAGGACCTTAAGGTCCACAAATGACAACACATTGGAGGCCCCAAGTCGCAAGATGGTTAGATTGGTCTCAACTAGGGCCAGGGCCTTTTCAGTACTGGCCCTGACTTGGTGGAACGCCCTGTCACAAGAGACTAGGGCCCTGCGGGACTTGACATCTTTCCGCAGGGCCTGCAAGACAGAGCTGTTCCGCCTGGCCTTTGGTCTGGACTCAGTCTGACCCTTATGTTTTCCTTCCCCTTATGGTTTTGATCCATGGGCTACTTTTAAAACGAGGCTGCATTTTAACCTGTATTTTAAATTGTTCTCCCCCATTATGTTTTTATTGTAATTTTACTGGTGTTAGCCACCCTGAGCCTGGGGGAGGGCGGGGTATAAAAAAAAATTATTATTATTATTATTATTATTATTGGCTCCGTCTTGGGTTATCTGCTGCTGGAGCAATGTTCAAACCTTGTTCCAGCTCCACTTTTAGCTGTACATCTGGAAGCCTCTTGTTGCTTCATGTTGCCTTGACAGAACTTGGATATACCCTGCCTTGATGTCTGAAGGATGGGGAGCCTGTAGCCCTCCAGATGTTGCTGGACTCCAACTCCCTTCAGTCCCAGATAGCACAACTAAGTCAGCAGTGATGAATCACAGCCCAGTAACATCTGGAGGGCCACAGGTCCCCCATATCTGTTCTAATACATTATCTTCTTAATACTTTGTACCCTCATGCTTCCAAAGGCAACTAGGTGATCCTTTGCCATAACTGTGTCTTACCTTACTTTTTGGGCATTCTTGATCACCCAAAGTTGAAACATTGAATTGATATATCACCAGGGTTAGAATTAGGGTTGCACCAAATAGTCACTCATTTCTGGTTTGTGGTTTCTGCTGTGCTTTCTGGGGTGGGTAGTGGAGGAGCAGGCACAATGTTCTCCAAGAAAATTGACTTCTGAATCTGTTCACATTTTCTGTGTCTGCTTATCATCCAAACTGCTCCTTCTTTGCTGTCATTGCCTAGCCAATAAGGAATAGATTAACTACCTGATCCTAGCCAACTGCAGACCCCCCAAGGGTCCCTATTTTCCAGGAACATCCCTGATTTAGAGAAGCCATTTCGGTTTCTGATTTGATCCCGGAATGTCCCTCTTTTCTTTAGGATATCCTTATTTTCATTGGAGAAATGATGGAGGGTATGGTAGGATGTGTCTATTTTCATTGGAGAAATGTTGGAGGGTATGGAGTTATCCAACCCCTGAGCCGTCTGAAGGCAATCCTGTATAGGGAAGTTTTTTTAAATGTTTAATGTTTATTATGTTTTTATATATGTTGGAAGCTGCCCAGAGTGGCTAGGGCAACCCAATAAGATGTGTGGGGTATAAATAGTAAAATTATCATTATGGAATGGGACATCCCTATTTTCATCAAAGAAATGTTGGAGGGTGAACAGCTGTGATCATGCAGGGAGAGAGATAGGGGCAAAATGGAAGGGAGTTTTATACAGCAGTGTTCCCCAACCCCCGGGCTGCAGACCGGTGCCGGTCCGTGGATCAATCGGCACTGGGCCGCCCGAGGAACTTCAAATCATTTCACCGTGGCAGGCGGCCGAGGCGCAGAGCATTGCGCCCTCTCAAGCCCGCCCATTGTGTGACAATAGCGAATGAAAATTCGCTATTGTTACACTGATGCTCCTCCTGGCCAATCAGGGAGCGGGTCCTCCCGCTTCCTGATTGGCCGAAAGGCAAACCTCACGCCATTGGACGAGGAGGAGGCACCACGGGAGGACTGAGGACTCGAGGTCGGAGACGCGGGGACTGAAGCGAAGCTGCCGTGAGGTAAGTGCACAGAGGGGGGCGGGGACTCAGCACTATCAAACGGAAAGAGGAGCAGCAATGGTTTTATTAGAATGCCCTCTCATTCACCCAGGCCTATTGCACTTATTTAGGTCAACAACCCCTGGGTCGAATGTGTTTGTGCGGGTTCAGGCATAAGTGCACGGAGGGGGGGCGGGGGTTCTCTGCCATTGAGGAGACTCAGCACTATGGCGCGATGATCTCTGTATTGAAAGGGGGAACGCTGGGGCATCTCTGTACTGAAAGGGGGAATGCTGGCATCTCTGTGTTGAAAGGGGGAATGCTGGCATCTCTGTGTTGAAAGGGGGAATGCTGGCATCTCTGTGTTGAAAGGGGGAATGCTGGCATCTCTGTGTTGAAAGGGGGAATGCTGGGGCATCTCTGCATTGAAGGGGCATGCTGGCATCTCTGTATTGAAAGGGGCATGCTGGCATCTCTGTGTTGAAAGGGGAACGCTGGCATCTCTGCATTGAAAGGGGGCACAGTCATCTTTTGTGATTTATATATATATTTCACAGTTATTTTGATACACTGGTCATATATTTAAAACACTGATCACATTTTTGCGTTGATAGTTTTTGATTTACATTCGGATTTAGGTGACATCTGGAGCTGAGCGGTTGCAAGCAGCAGTGGAGTGAAGAGAAAGGGAAGGTATCACTCTTCTAGCTCTTCTATCTGTTCACCGGTACTCGTGTGTACTGACGTGTTATTGTGTCTGCTTTAACCCACAAATTAGCAAAAATGAGTATGAAACAGACATCGTTAGAAAGTTTCCTTGGGAAGAAAAAAAGGCCCAGTGAACAGACAGAAGAAGAGCCTTCAACATCAAAGAAACATGCAACTTTTAACAGACAATACCATGAGTCCTATTTGAAATACGGATTTATCGGGACAGGTGATTCCCACGCATCAAAACCGCTCTGCATAGTTTGCGGCGAGAAGCTCTCTAATGAGGCAATGAAACCTTCAAAACTGCTTCGCCACTTGACCGCCAAGCACCCTGGCATAAAAGACAAGCCCCTGGAGTATTTTGAAAGAAAAAAAACGGGAGCACGAAGCACAGAAGATATTTATGAGGGCCACCACATCAATAAAGGAGAATGCACTGAGAGCATAATATTTGGTGGCTAACCGCATTGCTAAGGCTAAAAAGCCATTTACTATTGGTGAAGAATTGATCTAGCCCTCCACTAAAGACATTTGCCGTGAACTTCTAGGAGAGGCTGCTGTGGAGAAGATAGCACATGTGCCTTTGTCAGCTAGCACTGTGACTAGGCGCATTGAGGAAATAGCCGAAGACATTGAGGCACAATTGTTGGAGAGGATTAATACATCACCGTGGTATGCACTCCAGGTTGACGAATCTACAGATATCAACAACAAGGCACTACTACTAGTTTATGTGCGATATCTATATCAGGAGGATGTGCATGAGGATTTGTTATGTGCACTATCTTTGCCAACCAACACCACAGGAGCAGAACTGTTCAAGTCACTGAATGGTTATATATCAGAAAAACTGAAATGGTCCTTTTGTGTCAGCATATGCACAGACGGAGCTGCTGCCATGACCGGACGACTGTCTGGTTTAACTGCTCGGATTAAGGAGGTTGCACCTGAGAGTGAATCTACGCATTGTTTCATTCACAGAGAAATGCTGGCAAGCCGAAAAATGTCACCGGAATTTAACAGCGTATTGATGGATGTCGTTAAAGTTATTAACCACATCAAAGCACACGCACTTAACTCGCGCCTGTTTGAGCAGCTTTGTGAGGAGATGGACGCAGAGTACAGATGCCTTCTCTTATACACAGAAATAAGATGGTTATCCAGAGGAAAATCGCTAACCAGAGTATTTGAATTACGAGAGCCATTGCAAAGATTTCTCTCAGAAAAGAAGTCACCGCTGGCAGCACATTTCAGGGACAAGGTATGGGTCGCAAAACTGGCTTACCTGTGTGACATATTCAGCCTGCTCAATGAACTCAATCTGGGCCTTCAGGGGAAAATGACAACTGTTTTCAAGTTGTCAGACAAAGTAGCTGCATTTAAAGCCAAACTGGAGTTGTGGGGACGGCGCGTGAACAGAGGCATTTTGGACATGTTTCAGACATTAGCAGGGATTGTAGGCGAGACTGAGCTTGAACATTCATTCTGCCAGTTGGTGCACGATCACCTGTCTTTGCTTTAAAAGAGTTTGAGCGCTACTTCCCAACCACAAAAGACCCACGAACTGGTAAGGAATGGATCTGCGACCCATTTGCCAACAAATCAGGCGAATCTAGCATGTCTATGCAAGAAGAAGAACAACTGCTGGAGATTGCAAATGACGGTGGCCTTAAAACTACGTTCAAGACAACAACTCTGCCGATGTTCTGGTTTAAAGTCATGGCGGAATACCCTGAGATTGCCACCACAGCACTTAAATCCCTATTGCCATTTCCGACAACCTATCTGTGTGAAGCGGGGTTTTCTGCAGTGACAGCAACCAAAACAAAACAACGGAATAAACTGGACATAAGCAACACACTTCGGGTGTCATTGTCTCCTATTACCCCCAGATGGAACCGTCTTGTTGCAAAGAAACAAGCTCAGGGTTCTCATTGATTTGGCATTCTAGTGAGTTAAATAAAATAAATCACTTTATATTCATTTTTTGGTGTAGCTGTATTTTATTTTGAAGGCATGTTTAAATACAATTAAATTAAAATTATTAAATCAAAACAAGCGGGCCATGGAAAAATTATCAAACATTTACCGGTCCGCGGCAATAAAAAGGTTGGGGAGCACTGTCGTACAGGGTAAGCACACCAGCAGAGCTAATCTGGTGCTTCGGTCAGTGGGTTTGCACCATACCCATCTTTCCTCCATCATAGCCTTCCAGTAAGCAACAGCAACACACCTGTGGAGAAGCTAGCATAGTGGCTTTGTCCCACCCACCAAGCCATTTATGGAGGCAGTGATCTATCAGTGAGAGGCAGCAGGCAGGAGCTAAGGGATTCCTGCTACATTAGCTGCTACTGAAGTGGCCTAGAGACCATCATACTCATGAGTGCTGCAGAACCTGATGCTGAGGATGCCCAGAGATTCTCAGGGTGGGGTATTATTTAGGAGTTTTTTTGTAGGGGGTCAAGATTTAATTTTGTAGGTGCTTCATTTGTTCCTGTTATCATATTGTGTTTTGTTTGTTTGTATATCTGTTGTTAGACCTTACTATGACTCATGTGGGGATTGTTTAATTTGATCATATACTTATTGTTTTCATTTATTTACCGCTCCTTAATTTTTGTAATATTTTTGTAAGTAGGTAAATCTCTTGATGTTGTAAACTGCCTTGAGTGTGGCTTAACCAGGCCTAAGCAGAGCTTGTCTGAGGTCCAGGGCAGGAGTCTTGTTATAATAAAGTTATAAACTCAAACAAAAAAAGCTCTCCCCTGCCCCACCCGGGCCTGGATTTAACAAGGAGAGACAGCATGCAGATAAATGATGGTGAAGATGTTCCTTGCAGATTTCATCACTTCCTCAGATTGTTGCTATGCTGCTACATGATATCGGGGTATTTCATATGTGCAAGCCCTCTTCCAAAGGGGCAGGGAATGTATTCTCTCTACAGGCTTCTACAGAAATGAGCAACCAAGCCTGTGAAGGTTTCTACAAATTCGTGGAGGAGTAAACCCTACGCACAGGGGTGTGAAACCTCAGGCCTGTATGTGGCCCTCCACCTCCCTCTGTCTGGCCCTCAAGACTGTACCCAGCTAGAATGTTTCATTCAACTGGGATGATGTCTCTTGCCTGAATGGAGGAAGGAAGAGGGTATGTGTATGGCCACATCCACTATGGTCCCTGGGAGGTTGTCCACGTGGGAATGTGGCCCTTGAATTGAAAGAGTTTGTCTCCTATTGATTTCCCCCTATTTTGCTGTCATTAGTTGCTGTGGCATGCCAAGTGATGGCCAAGCCACCCAGGGCATTAGCTGCATTAAAGGTAAAGGTAAAGGTACCCCTGCCCGTACGGGCCAGTCGTGTCCGACTCTGGGGTTGCGTGCCCATCTCGCTTAAGAGGCCGGGAGCCGGCGCCGTCCGAAGACACTTCCGGGTCATGTGGCCAGCGTGACAAAGCTGCAGCTGCCGAGCCAGCACCAGTGCCGCACACGGAAACGCCGTTACCTTCCCGCTATAAAGCGGTACCTATTTATCTACTTGCACTTAAGGGTGCTTTCGAACTGCTAGGTGGGCAGGAGCTGGGACCGAACGGCGGGAGCTCACCCCGCCACAGGGATTTGAACCGCGGACCATACGATCAGCAAGTCCTAGGCACTGAGGTTTTACCCACAGCGCCGCCCGTGTCCCTTATATTAGCTGCATTATCAACTCAGAAAAGGACAGCCTATCAGCAGTGCAAGTCCTTGGTCTATACAGTATCCACTATCTTTCCTTTTATGTATGCAGCCTGCCATCTAATGCAACAGCACAGCATGTGTCTGTTCACACACTGGGGCACGTGATCAAGGAATTGCTTAATACAACCTGACTTAAGGTGGTGCTGATATTGTGTGTGCAGAGTGGCAAATCAAGCAGTAGCACTTGCTCTGACAAGTGAGTAATTATCTTTGCCAGCTGATAGTGTTTTGTTATTTGCAGGTCAAAATGGAAAACAGGTGCTCTTTAGCAGGTTTCCTGCTCGAAACAGTACCAGGCGATGCAGCGGGGGTGGGGTGGGGGAAGAGATGTCTAACTGCCAACTCTGTGAGGGGTGGCGAGTGAGCAGGCCAGATGAGCGGAATAAATGGTTGCATCGGGAAAAGGATGCTTGCAATTTAGGTTGCTGGAAAGGGCTTGAACTCGGCATAGAGGAAATCATGAGAGGGAGACTGTAGCTGTAGAAAACCTGCCTTAGCCCGAGCTAAAAGGCATCCCATAAGGGTTTCTTTCTTTCTTTCTTTCTTTCTTTCTTTCTTTCTTTCTTTCTTTCTTTCTTGCTTTTCCTTCCTTCCTTCCTTTCAATGCTGAAGAAGAAAATGGAAATCCCAAAATACCCGTGGCCTTTTCTTAGTTTCTTGCACTGGACAAAAAAGTAATGGCACACAGTTTTACATCTTGATTGATTCAGTACAACATTTCATTGCTAATGAAATGAACAAAAAGGGTGTCAATAGCAGAGCTGGAAAATTAGCTCTATCTGAGGTCCTGGTGAGACCCTGACAGAGAAGATACAGTTCACTGGGCTCAATGGATCAGTTACGTGGCTCTGCATATGACATGATTCAGAAAGATCTACAGCTAGGTGATAGATCATAGAGCTGCGTGCAGAAGGTCCCAGCTCCAGTCCCTAAAATCGCCAGGTAACTAGGTATCATTCAGCAGAGATTTTGAAAATCCACTTGTAGTAGACAACACTGGGCTATAAGAAATGCTAGAAGTGTGACCACTTATGCATTGCATCCCACCAAAAAAAAAAAAAAGCCCCCAAAGGAACTGCAAAACTTTAATGTTAACAAAACAGGAACAACAAAAAGGACACAGATCTGCATAGAATTGCATTAAGTGTGCATGGTGCAAATATAGAAATTATTATCATCATTTAAATCAGGAGTGGGGAACCTGTGGCCCTCCAGATGTTGGCAGAACTCCTGGACCTTGATCATTGGCCATAGTGGTTGGGGGGAGATGGGAGGTGGAGTCCAGTAATGTCTGGAAGACCAAAGGTTCCCCATCTCTGAATTAAATAGAAATACAATCTCATGATGGCGGGGAAGACTATGAGCTGGTGCTTGCTCTGTCTGCTGTCCAGGCACTCATTGTTGACAGGCAGCTGCAAGGCCCCTGCTGCTCTCCCTTCTTATGACTCTTTATCTTTAAACCAAACTGAGCAGAGCCCTCCAAATGGGCAATACCTTCAAGCAGAGAGAAGTCCTCTGCAAAGAAGAAGACATCACCACTTGGCAGGGTGGAAAGTAGGGAGGCCAACAGTAGGTTTTAAGTAAGAAGGCAGGCAGGCAGGCAGGGGCAGACTGGTGAGTCAGTGCTTCAGGTGTTCTAATGGACCAGCATCCATTGCCACCTTAATCACCAGTCTGAGCACTATGGACTGCATCCAGCATTCTCTGCTAACACAAGTGGACTGGTGAGTTTTAATGTTGTGTAACACACTAGTTGTCATAAGAAGAGCCCTGTTGGATCAGGCCAGTGCCTGTTTAGCCCAACACCTTGTTCTTACAGCAGCCAACCAGATGTCTATGGGATATCCACAAGCAAGACCTGAGCACAAGAGCAGTCTCCCTTCCTATAGTTTGTAGCAACTGGTATTCCGAAGCAATGCTGCCTCTGGCTGTGGAGGCAGAGCCATGCCATTGTGACTAGTAGTGGGAACGTGTTGTGCATCAAATTGTGGAATCTACTGCACAACCAATCTACCAGAAACCTACTTACGCTTAAAAAAAACTTTCTTGAATTTTTGTAGAAGTGCATTAGAAAATTCCACTTAATACCACATATATAAAACCACAAACATGCTTTCTTTTGCACAGCAATGTTGCACCGGCAAAAAACATTTTTGTGAACAGAAGTATAACACCAAGTGACTTAGACTCAGCACCAAACTGGATACAACCTGTTGTGTTCATATATGTTCAATGATGCACATAATGATCAGAGCCAGTTTCTCTTTCAGCCTCAAAGGCAGCAGCAACTATTTGGGCCCCGCACATGTAACAAAATCCACCCGGCAAGCTTCATTCTCACCCCCACCCCCACCCCCATCCTGTCCCCACCTCACTTTTCCAAAGACTGGCTAAGATTCTGAGAAGCACATTCAACTTGGGCTGTATCATCAACCTGAGCACTTCAACCGTGTGCTGTGGACCTGCCAAGTGTCATGCCTTTCTGACTGATCCTTCAGCTGCATCTCCATTTCTCAGTCATGCATCCTCCCTGGAATAATTCATACATGGCTGCAAATAAAAAACAGAGCAGGAAATACTTTGGTTGGGCTCCAGGGCTCAGTTTTATTCTTTCATCTAGGGGCAGCGAGGAAATCTTCAAGTTCTGGGTCCCAAGGCAAATTCACTCATCTTAAAGAGGAATCTGTCCAAGATGTGAAAGTTTCACAAGCGTCAGGCTCACATCAGGGACCACAGTTGTTAATGTGAAGCCAACCTTTCCCTAGTTCGTTCTCTCTTTTGTTTTGGGTGACAACACCTATTTGCCCTGGGCCTGATTGGAACTGTAATCAAAAACATCTGGAGGGCACCGGGTTGGGAAAGTTTGGTTTTAGGTTTCACTGGGCAAGAGGGTGCACAGAGGCAGATGTTAAGGTCAAGAGTTGCTGTTCCTTAATTTCTAAGGCAGGGATGGAGAAACTTCTGGTTTTCCAGATGTTGGACGGAGACTCCCATCAGCCCCAGCCACCATGGCTGATGGTCGGGAATTATGAGATTGCTGGTCTAGCAACATCTGGAGGACAACAGGCTCCCCATCCCTGACTGAAAGGAAGATACTGCCCAGCCTTCTGCAACCTGATGCCATCCAGATGTGTATGTGTACATGTGTGTTTGAAAATATATATTGGAATGTCAATGAGAGGAGCAAACCCAGATTAAATGTGAAAGTAATATTGGATGTGTTTTGATGAGGACAATGTCATGTGGACAGTGTACAGAACTTGCACGTGTGAGCAGTCTGCAGCAAACTGCCACATGAAAGTGCCTGACATTCAAATAAAATATGTAAACAATTAATACAGTACTAGCAGAGCAGAAATTAACAACAGGCGGCAGCTAGAGTCAATTAAACAGCAGCTTCTATATCCAAGAACCACTCCAGTAATGAATCATAGAATCATGAAGCAGAAGAACTGTTCAAATGACCTAGACAGCAGTGGTAGTAACAACAACAACTACAATAACAACAACAACATGTTACAATTGCCTTTTTTTAAAATAATATTTTTATTCATTTTCACAAAAGAAAAAAAAACATTTTTTATACAATCAATTCACATTTTATCACACATTCATCTCTTTTTTTGACTTCCCTCAGCTCCTCTGCCGATCTTTCGTTTGCATCAATATTATTAAAGCATTTCTTAACTTAGTATTGCCTTTAGATATCTCCTTCCCTCCTCTTATTTTCTTTTTAACAATATTCTTCTGTTTTTCACAGAGTCTCTTGAAAACCAACAAACGTTATCTGTTCATCACATATGCCTTTCAGATAATCTGTAAATCTTCCCCAGTCCTTGATGAACTTTTGGTCTCGTTGATACCGAATCTTCCCTGTTAGTTTGTCCAATTCTGCATAATCAGTCAATTTCAGTCTCCATTCTTCCACCGTTGGTAATTCTTCCTGTTTCCATTTTTGGGCTAGAAGTATTCTCGCTGCTGTAACTGCGTATTGAAAAAGTTTACAGTCTTTCTTACTTATCTCATTTCCTACCAATCCCAATAAGAAGGCCTCCGGTTTCTTAATAAACGTATATTTCAACATCTTTTTCAATTCATTATATATCATTTCCCAGAAGCCTCTCACCTTTTTACACTCCCACCACATATGATAGAATGTCCCTTCTTTTTCTTTACATTTCCAACACTTATTACATGTTTTGTACATTTTAGCTAGTTTTACTGGCGTTATATACCATCTATATACCATTTTCATCACATTTGCCTTTAACGCAGTACATGCCGTAAATTTTAGTCTTTCATTCCATAATTTTGACCATTCATCATATTGTATATTATAACCAAAATCTCTGGCCCAATGTGTTACAATTGCCTTTTCATATCAGGACTTGAGGTGCTACTTGCTAAAATTGATTGGGGAGAGTGTTCCAAAGATGAGGTTCCAATGCTCAAAAGATCAACTATCTCAGGGGGAGGCAACTTGGTGTTCTCCAGGTGTTGCCAGACTGCAACTCCCATTATTCTCAACCTTTGGCTATGCAGGCTGGAGCTGATGGGAGTTGGAGCCCAACCAACACACGAAGGACACCATTTTGCTTCCTCTTGTGCTAACTTGCAGGCAGTCACCTGCCTCACCTCCAGACAGCATTGCAGCTATCACTAAGCCTTGGGGCTGAAGTCCAGGGCCTCCATGCCTAGGCAACCACCTCACACCATATGACCACCCGGAGAGCAACAGCTGATAGAAGCAGCATCAAATACCAGCAAGAGGGCCTGGGCTGGTTTTGACATGTGGGGGCTCATCGGGGTAACACAGAATCATAGAACTGTAGAGTTGGAAAGGACCCGAGGATCATCTAGTCCAGTGGTGGCAAACTTTTTAGAGACTGAGTGCCCAAACTGCAACCCAAAACCCACTTATTTATCGCAAAGTGTCAACACGGCAATTTAACCTGAATTTAAGGTTTTAGTTTAGAAGGGGAGGTTGGCGCATCCATGTAGAAAGAGAGTGGAGCAACACAGTGGTACCTTGGTTTTCGAACAGCTTAGTTCTCGAACTACTTGGAACCTGAACACTTCAGACCCGGAAATGAGTGCTCTGGTTTTTGAACTTTTCTCGGAAGCGGAACATGCTATGTTCTGAGTATAACTTCCGTTTTGATTGCCACACTTCCATTTTCAGAGTGATGGAAGGTGGGCTGGGCAGCAAGTGAGCAGGCACCTGCCACTCTCCAACGCTGGGTCCTTCTGCTGCCACAGCCACAACAGCAACAACCCCTCCTCCAGCTTCGGAGGCGCTGAGTGAGGGAAGGCTGGGCAAGCAAGCAGGCAAGGGGGCAAGGGATGTCACCGCCGCCACCCCCCAGCCTGATCCTGCTTGCAGGCAAGTAGGAGTGGGATCGGGCTGCTCTTTCTAGGCAGAATTGCTGCTTGCATGGGAACAGGAGCTGGATCGGGGCTGCTTTTATGTATATAGGAGGAATATATTGTATATATACTGAACATGAATTGTAGGCATTTTGTATGAGTTTGTTAATGTTATGTATAATTTGCTAACTGTATAACATATGTTTTAAACTGTTTTGAAATCTCCTGGAAACCTTTGGGTAACAAGAAACTAACAAGCCTAACAAATTAACAATATGTTAATAAGTAATAATATGTTAACCCCAAAATCGTGGAGCAATGAGAACAACTAAGCAAAGTGCTTGTGCATAGTGAGAGGAGAATGTACAAAATATATGCAAAAATGAAAGTCAGTGGAAGACAACCCAAATGTTCTCTTTCACAACTGCTCCCCAACCCCTGAAGATGGAAAAAGAGAAAGGGAAGATATTGCTTCAGAAAAGCCAATTCTCCAGAGAAAGAACAGGCTAGTATTAGCTGGGTGACAGTGAGTGACAACTCTTTCACGTGCACCAGTGTGGCAAAGGAAAAAGAGAGGCTTTAGAAACAGAAGCACAAATGACATCCCATCTCCTTCGCAACGAGTTTGGGCAGCAATACGAACAGAGGTCTCTTGCTCTTGGATTAATCCCATTGTCAAACAGGTTCCTGGCACTAATGATGCTCCCATTTGGGGGGTTTGTGCAACACGTCATCCTATCGTCTCACTTTAAATCTGTACAGGATTTAGTGCTACAACACATTCAGGGTGACAACAAGTAAAACTCAAACTATGAATCTAGGAGAGGGAGAAAGGATGGGGTGGGGGGAACTACAGCAGGTTTTGAACTGAGCCATCGTTCAGTGGTGGAGCACCTGCTTTATATGCAAAAAGTCCCAGGTTCAAATCCTGGCATCTCCAGATATGCTTGGGGATGTCCTGTGCTCTGGAGAGCCACTACAGTCAGTGTAGACAGTACTGAGCAGAATACAGTGGTGCCCCGCAAGACGAATGCCTCGCAAGACGGAAAACCCGCTAGACAAAAGGGTTTTCCGTTTTGGAGGTGCTTCGCAAAACGAATTTCCTATGTGCTTGCTTCGCAAGACGAAAATGTCTTGCGAGTTCCTGCGGGTTTTTTTCCCTCCCCCCCCTTTTCCCCAAGCCGCTAAACCGCTTATCAGCTGATTGGCTAAACCGCTTAATAGCTGATCGTTAAGCCGCTTATCAGCTGATCGTTAAGCCGCTTATCAGCTGATCGTTAAGCCGCTTATCAGCTGATCGTTAAGCCGCTTAACAGCTGATCCGCTAAGCCCGCTAATACTGTAGCGCTAATCCGCTAAACCGCTAATGGGCTTGCTTCGCAAGACGAAAAAACCCGCAAGGCGAAGAGACTCGCGGAACGGATTCTTTTCGTCTTGCGAGGCACCACTGTATACCATTGGTCTTACTCAGGATAAGGCAGCTGCCTACAGTCCTGTGTCTCCATCCCTGCACTCTGTGTAACTTAAGGACTGGCCTACTGCAATGCACCCTTTGTGGGGCCTCCCTGTTGCTTGGTCTGGAAACCACAAATTGTGCAGAATCCTGCCACACAATTACTAACGGGGTTGACATCCCAGCAGCAAACCATACCTGTTGAATAGTGGGTAGACATAGCAGACGACGCAGCGATTTCTCCAAAGCAGCTCTTTATTTGTAAGCTGGAACAGAACTGCACACCAAACAGCTCAGCCGGCCTGCTTTTATAGGCAGCCAGCTGTCAACATTGTAGCAACAACAAGCCAGGGTTTCCCGCCTAAAGTAACTGACGTGGACCTGAGTGAAAACTACATACACGATACTCCTGGTGGCCAGGGTGAGAACTTCAATACATAACACCCCTCCCCACCGAGATAAGGCGTTAGTTACAATCGTAATGGTTTCCTTATATACAGCACTACACGTAATGGTTCAATTAGGCACAAAAGCATATCGGTTACATTTCACATACTTCCAATTAGACCAACAGTGTTACATGTCCAACAACATAGTCCTTTAAATATGGTCTACTGGCCTTGTGGATTTCCCGGGCGGAGAGTTCAGCAGCTTCTGAGGCCACAGCCTCCTCAGTGGCTTTTCTGCAGCGTGAGGTCTGGCTTGGTGGGGAGACACCGTTGCAGATGGATGTCCCGGACCCCGCAGACGATTTGATCCATCAGGGCATCGTCTAAGTCTCGGAACTCGCAGTGCATTGCAGCCTGTCGCAGGGCGGTGGTGTAGTTTTTGATTGACTCCCCCTCTGCCTGGTTCCAGTGGTAAAACGCATGGCGGGCAGCAATCTTGGACGGCTTTGGCGCGTAGTGGTTGCGGAGCTTCTCTTGGATCGTGTCCCATGGTGTTGCCTGGACTGCTTCAGGCGCAACCAATGCTCGGGCCGTCTCAAACACCTCAGGCCCACAGAGGCTGAGGAATAGGCCCCCCTTCCGTTCCTTTGATACTGCTGTCAGCTCATTGGCTTGGAGGTAACATTCGAACCGAGCGAGGTAGGAGTCCCATGATTCAGAGGCTGGCGCAAACGGATACCCCTGCTTAAAGACCTACACTACCTGCTGATTCATTACCAGGTCTGTTCAAAGTGTAACTATTGGTACATAATGTCATGAGACAAAGGTTCTTGAGAGGAGAGGAAGTAAGGCAAGGCCTACAAGGCCCACACAATCATTCAAGCCTGCTAACTGTTAACAGCAAACTGCTGAATCATTGTGACTCATCTAAAGGATGATTGAACTCAGTCACTCTATAAATTTGTATCCTGTTTGCAGTGTAGTGTCTGTGCTGTTGTTGTAATGCGTTGCTGTGAATGTAAAGCTAAGGCAGGCAGAGTGGCTCCAGGACTAGTAAATCACTAACTAAGACTGTGCCTCTGTGAAAAGTCAGATAGCTGCTATGAGCGCTCTGAGTATGCTCTTTAACTGTGCTGTTTCTGAACAAGTTTATTTTATTCAGTAAAGTTTTATTCTGTTTATGAAGAAGACTCTGCGTTGATTAATTTACCATTGCTTCCAACAGCTTTGGACCAGTTTACTTGGCCTTCCTTCATATGTGTTCACTTGACTGAGTCAATCTGTGGAACAGCCACTTTTAGTAGTGCCATAAAATGTTTGCTCTGCAATTGCGGTGCCTTCCATCAGTTTCGCCTGGTGGACCAGCTGCACCCCTATCTGGACAGCAGTAGCCTAACATTGATGCATTAGGTTAGGTTATTGCAGCACATTATATGTAGGGCTGCCACAGAAGACAGTTCAGAAACTCCAGCTGGTACAGGATTTGGCAGCCAGGTTGCTCACTGGGACAATTAATTTCTGGGCCCAATTCAAAGTGCTGGTTTTGACCTATAAAGCCTTAAGCAGCTCAGAACCGCAATACCTCAAGGACCGCCTCTCCCCATATAAACCATCCCTGAGGCCCTTCTTCGGGTGCCTCCCTCACGAGAGATCATGAGGGCAGCAACATGAGAACAGTGCTTTTCTGCAGTGGCCCCCCATTTGTGGAATGCTCTCCCCAGGGAGGCTCACCTGGTTCCTTTGTTACATATCTTTAGGAGCTACGCAAAAACGCATATCTTCAACCAGGCCTTTGGCTCATTAACATTCCATGGCCTTTTAAATGTTTCTCTTGGGGGATTATTGGTTTGATTTGCTTTTGCTTTAGTTTTTTAAATTGTATTCTGTGTTTTCATTTTGTATTTTTATGTTGTGAACCACCCTGTGATCTTCAGATGAAGGGCAGTATACAAAAATAATCAATCAATTAATTAATTAACAACTTGAGAGGTATAAGGTTTTTCTTTTGTTTTGTTTTTTAGTGTGGCGTTGCACCTCTCTCCACAATTCCAAGCACAAATTTGAATATTGCTGTGAAATGTATTATTTTCATATGGCAAAACTGGCAATATAAGTCAGTCCCTCCCTGCCCCCCACCCTAGAATTGTTAGAAACTCTCATGTTGGCTTTAAACATGCCTTCTCGTGAAACATTAACATACCCAACCAGCTAGGATCAGGGAGAGGAAAAGGAAAGAAAACCAAATGAGAACCAGCAAAGGGAAGATCACGTGATCACCTCCTGATTTGTTTCCAGCTGTTTTCTAGTCATTAGCTTTTAATTTCAACAGCTGCCTCTTTGTGCTTCTCTCCCCCTACACACCCCAAACTCAGGTATTTTGTGCTGTTAAAGTGATTGTCAGTTCTGTTCTGCTTGAAAGGTTTCAGTGTATGTTGCCATGGCCACGGGTACCAGAATTGGAAATAAATGAAGGGGGGGAGGCGGGATCTAGGAATTGACATGGTGCTGATGGGGAGCTATGAGCCAAAAGGTTGCCTATTAGTGTTGGATTTGGTTTGGCTAAAAGGAAAAATGTTAGATATGGTAAAATAAAAGGAGAATCCCCTGGGTGCCTAGATCCAGGTTTGGGTCAAGTACTCTTAGGTTGTACTCTTTAGCAGTTCGAAAGCACGTCAAAGTGCAAGTAGATAAATAGGTACCGCTCTGGCGGGAAGGTAAACGGCGTTCCGTGCGCTGCTCTGGTTCACCAGAAGCGGCTTAGTCATGCTGGCCACATGACCCAGAAGCTGTACGCCAGCTCCCTCGGCCAATAAAGTGAGATGAGCGCCGCAACCCCAGAGTTGTCCACGACTGAACCTAATGGTCAGGGGTCCCTTTACCTTTACCTTTACTCTTTGGTGAGAGAGCCTCAGCAGAGATTTCAAATCACAAAACATGCAGCAAAGTAAAGAAAGTAAAGAAAAAGGAAACTTAGGCTGGTAGACCTTTAAAATATCTCCTCCTAAGTCATTTCCAAAGTCCCCTTAGCAGAGAAAAAGACCACACATTTGGTAAGTTAAAAATGGCTTACTTACAAACTTTTCAATGGTTAGATTGGTGCTTTTTTCCTTACAGCCCTAAGAAAAGACAGATAGTAAAACAGTAAAACAGCCCTAAGAAAAGACAGACATTTTCCAAAATGGTAACTGTTTCCAAATTATTTATATAGAAACATAAAGATGGCTAGCTTAACCCACATAGATTAAACTTTGGGCATCCAGTTTAGATCTTCTTCGTGGAAGTTCACATTGTGGAAAAGAGTGAAAACAAAGAGTTTGATAACCCTTCCTGCCAAGGTGAGCAAGCTGTGACCTAGCTAAGCCTGGCAGGACAGCTTACTCTATGGTCTTAACCCCTTCATGCATTATGGTTAAGCATGTTGGTTATATGAGGCTGCTTATCCCACAATTACTTTGGCAGATTCTGCAATGTCTGCTGGAAAATCTGTTTTAATAGAATGCCTAAATCCTTCATTGGAGCGTGGATTATAGCTAAATAGAGCTATCTATGCCTGGATTCATAATAAATAAATATATTAAAGAAAAAGGAGAGAGAGTCTCTAGCCAGCGGGGAGAGTTGGAGAACCTCAGAGGTTGGGGGTGGCAATTGTGGCCATCCAGTCCTCTCTAACTGGCCCTCAGGGCTCTTCCCAGGTCATATCCCATTCCCAAAGCAACCCCCTTTGCTCCCTCCTTGGGTCTTTTTTGGCTGGCTGGAATGTGTCCCCAAACTCCAATAATGCTTGTTTATGTGCATGGAGGATAGAGAAGGGTGTAGGAGTCTGTGTAGCGGAGACTGTGGTGTCTTTAGAATATATGGTTTATTTACACATATATACAACCTGAGCCAGGATGAAGGGAGTCCAGAGCATTCACATCTCAAGAGGAGAGGGAGACACCCATGGCTCTTCTCCAGCCAGACTCATCTCTGCCTCTTGGCCTCCCTCCTCTCTTGCTTCAGCTCCTGCCTCTGATTCTGGACTTCTCTCTGCCATGGACTCTCCCTTCCCACTAAACCCTGTTACCTCTTCAGCTTCTGACCATTCCTCCACTTCCACTAGGTGTGAAGAGGAACAGAGAGAGGAGGCAGCCTGCCAGCACTCATGGAGGCAGAGAAAGAAACGAAGGTGTTGGCTGACTGGCAGGCAAGCCCCACTCCTGAGGCTGGTGGCTGGACTGCTGAGGGAGTGGGTGAGCCTCAGGTGGCCATCCGGAGCCCTGACTGAAGTGTGCTATGCTGCCCGGGGATTCGTGAGACATTGCCTGTTCGGAAATTCTGTTTTTGTCTTGAAATTATAAGTTTAAACCGGTTTCAGGCAATACCTTGCCCAGGGCTAGTGGACAGGATTTCTGCCTTGCAGGGAGTTGTACCAGATGACCCCCCCCCCCCAGGGTCCCTTCTGGCTCCACAGTTCTATGATTTGACTACCAACTTCTGAGTAGCATCGAGTTCTGGAACCCCGAGTTTTGGAACTGTTTGACTTCTTCATTGGCTGATAGAAATGTTGGAAGTGCAACAGTGACGACTTGTGGCAGAAAACATCATGACAATGAGAAGTGTGTGTATGTGTATGTGTGTGTGTGTGTGTGTGTGTGTGTGTGTGTGTCTCCTGCCCAATTCACATGCTTTTTAAAATATTTATTTTATTTAAAATGGTATAATAATGCTTTAAATGTATGTGGAAATATGGTCACAACCAGACAAGGTCATTTAAGGAGGTCATGGAGCAAGGCTGAATAAATGGGTGAATGGAGGAGAGTCTCAAGAGTCCTGAGGGCAGCATTTTGACCCAGAGCTGGAGGTTCCTGACTCTTGCCCTGAGGAAATGCAGT